GGTTTGTTTCGAGGTTGTGGGAGGAGGACTTTTGGAATTCGAAGTCTCTTGGGTAGTAATGCGGAGGGGATGGAGGCTCGTAGCGCAGGAAGGTGGTGGAGTTTAGGTCCATGTCTATGTAGTCTTCTTCGTATTCATGAGGAGGCTGCAGGTGATGATGAGATGACTCTTTCGCCATTTCAAGATGGCCTCTCTCTCTCTCTCTCTCTCTCTCTCTCTCTCTCTCTCTCTCTATTCTTACTTTCTCTCTCTATGATATGGCTTTGTGGTGAGAGGGAGGAGGAGGAAGGCATCCTTTAATTTAAAGCAGTGATAGGGGCCAAATTAGAAAAATTGTTGAGGGGTACTGGTCAAGGGTTTAGGTATATACTACAGCACCCGAGATAAAATATGGACCCCTTTCAGGCCGTGAAAAGAGCGCTCGACTTGTAGGGACATGTTAAGAGTATAGAAACTACAATCCCTTAACAACCGTCGTAACTTCGGAGTTATGGTGCACTGGCAGTGGCCTTTCACATGGTACCAAAGCAACCGATGTCCGAGTCCCGCTGACTCTGGGATTGAAAGTGGATCAACCGGAGGGCTTATGACTACTATCTTAAGGGTTAACCTTGGTAGTTTGATTGTTTTCGTGTCTTTCTATCTATGCAGCATTTGTTTATATATATGGACAAATTTTCAAAACCAACCCTTTTACACATTTAATTGCGAAAACCGACCCCTTTTCAAAATAATTGCAAAAACCGACCTGTTTTCAGCCCAGCGCTGAAAACAGGTCGGTTTTTGTAAAAAAATCTCCGAAACATCACGGGAGTTCAACTCCCGTGAAGTTTATGGAGAAATTAAACTTCACGGGAGTTCAACTCCCGTGAAGCTTAATTTCTGCTTAAAACTCCACGGGAGTTGAACTCCCGTGGAGTTACAGTCAGCAATTCCAGAGAATCGAGTCTCTGGCAAATTGTGACTGCAACTTCACAGGATTTCAACTCCCGTGAAGTTGCAGTCCACAAATTGCCAGAGATCGAGTCTCTGGAAAATTTGCACTGCAACTTCACGGGACTTGAAATCCCGTGAAGTTGCAGGTCACCCAGCATGCACAGCTGCTGTGCAGGTTTTGTATATTTACCTGTAACTCATATATATGTCAATTTATTTGCAAACAACAATATATACATGATTCAACAATGAATTATAACTCATATATATGCCAATTTATTTGCAAACAACAATATATACATGATTCAACCATGAATTAAACACACACGAATATGTATATGAACAACAATTTATCTTCAAAAGTTTAGTATTTGAAAATTCAGGAAAGTTACAAAATTTATCAAAATAAGTTCATATACAACCCAATATAGCTCCTCTCCCTCTCTTCCCCCTCCCCCTCGCTCTTCCCCGCCCCCTGGGTTCCTACTGATGAGCCTCAACTATCTGAGTATCCGGCTGTGTATGAAGCTGCGAAGTGCCGGCTCCATCGGCATGCGAAGTGCCGGCGTCATCATCACGCGGCCGTCGACGTCGAGCGTACGCCCGTCCAAATGAGCGAGACCTGTCCTCACGGCCTGCGAACTCGTCGACGTGAGTCTTATGGAACACCTGCGCTATGCTCTTCTTGATCCTGCTGAGGAGACCTAACGCCACCTGATCCTGAATCTCAGTCACGTGCGCATCAATATCAGCATTAATGCTATCTAAAACACGGACCTGCGTGGTAAACAATTTATTAAGTATCAAATCAATAAAAAATATTATAATTTAGCTTAGAAACTTACGTAATCTCTCTCGTTCATCCCACTAGGGATGTAACTATCTGTCGGTGGGCGTGGCATGTGTCCAGCTAAAGGCTGTGGGTCACGCGTGATCCATCTACGTGTGATACCCCAATACCAACGCATATACGTGGTATAGTCAACAGCTGTGGGCCTCGTATCCTGTATGCAATCCCACCTATGAACCCACCTGTCTATGTAGGTCGCACGGATTACGGCCCAGTCAGTCCGGTGCGATGTAGGGCGCCGCCGACGATTGATCTGCTCGACAGGATCTGGAATATGCTGAGAGAGTGTAAACTGCCGTAGCACACGGTCCGGTACATGCATCTCTACGATCTCCCAACAGATCAATGGAACTCTGGCTCTCCACAAGTCGGGACTATCTCGGCAGATAGGTGCAAGAGAATGTATATCGAGCTCCGGCGGTGTATAGGGTCTCCACTTGAACTGAAATAAAGTAAAACATTTATCTTTATCATACAGAAAAACTATAATATTCATACTTCTTGAGTTTTATATTTACCTGTTCGTGCTGGAGGCCATCAAGCTCATTTCGGTAAAACTGACGGTGACGCGTCGCTGATTTGTACTGAGCGTATCGCACGTTATACCTATATGCAGAATGGCGAATATATAAGTACAAATATTCAGGTTACGAATAAAATATGTGTGTATAATTATACATGTATGCCAACGGATACTGCCCCTCTAAGTCACGGTGCATAAGTAAAGTGGGTCGTCCAATATGAATGCGCTCCCATGACCAAATCTGTATCAACGTACAGCATCCCTTGAATTCTTTATTCTGCATCAGAGATACTCTACTCAATTCTCGATACAAATATGCCAACACCGCACTGCCCCTTCATATACGGGCATATATATTCTCGAGGTAATTAAATCTTTCCCATCATAAGAACAGCGAGAATTACAATTCGATTCGCCTTCATCGTTACCTCGGAAGGGAAAAATTCAATATCAATATTACACGAATAGCCAAATAAATATATTGATTAGTTCCTAAATTTGATTACATTATAGGTAGTGAAGTCTAATTTCCACATTGAATTGATTAATTCACAAAATTCGTAAAATAATTCAAAAATTAGAATCTAAAATCTAATTTAAATTCATGTACATAGTGTAAAATCTAAAATTCTAATTTTTCTTCACAAAATCTAAAGTTAATTCACAATTAAATTCAAACTCTAAATACAGATCAATATTTCGAAGATTATTGCATAATTTCCCCCTCTAATTTTCGGACGAAAAATTATTGATAAATTACAACAATTCTCACAAATTCACAAAAATTATTGAATAATTTCCCATTGATAATTTTCCTCTATTTTTCAAATTTATTGCATAATTTTCCCTCTAATTTTCATCATTTTATTGATAATTTCCCATCTACTTTTTCATTTCTTCATAAAAATTCAAAACAATTCATAATTAAATTTTAAAATCTAAGCATTCTACATGTAATACAATCAAATAGTGGGGAGTATACAACAATTTAGAGAGCTATAGCCTTTTTTTTGAAAGAATTTACGCTGTTTTTTGGAAAAACTGACTGAGATCTGAACTGGAGCGGCGGTCTGGAGCGGTCGGAGGCGTGGCGGCCGGTGGCGAAGCGGCGGGCGCACGGCGGGGCATGGGGTCGGAGCCTGGAGCGGCGGCGGTCGGAGGCTGGGGTGGCCGACTGAGAAGGCGACGTTTGGAGAGAGGCGGAAATATTAGGGTTTGTGTGGTCTGGGGTCGGGTCACGCGCTTAAATAGGGTCACCAAACTCCACGGGATTCAAGTCCCGTGGAGTTGCAGTCCAAATTCCAGAGACTCGATCTCTGGCAATTTGTGGACTGCAACTTCACGGGAGTTGAAAATCCCGTGAGAAGTTGGCAGTCACAATTTGCCAGAGACTCGATTCTCTGGAATTGCTGACTGTAACTCCACGGGCGTTCAACTCCCGTGGAGTTTTAAGCAGAAATTAAGGCTTCACAGGAGTTGAACTCCCGTGAAGTTTAATTTCTGCATAACTTCACGGGAGTTTGAACTCCCGTGATGTTTCGGAGATTTTTTACAAAAAACCGACCTGTTTTCAGCGCTGGGCTGAAAACAGGTCGCGTTTTTGCAATTATTTTGAAAAGGGTCGGTTTTTGGCAATTAAAATGCTGTAAAACGGTTGCTTTTGAAAAATTGTCCATATATACTATATATAATATATATATATATATATATATATATATATACTATATATATATATTATATATATATATAGTACCTACACTTAATATACCAGCAACCCTAATCTAAAAACAACGGAATTTGCAAATTCAAAAAATAAAGGCCCACTCGCACTCACTTCCTTCCTCTTTACTGAATATATATAATAAATACTCTGATGTAGCAAGCCTTACTGCTATTACCTGATTAGATCTGGGGGCGTGCGTACCGGCGAGTACGCTCCCCTCAAATCGCAGTAAATTGCACATAACCTTCCCCATTTATACTTTCGAATAATATTTATTATTACCCCCTCAGTTCATTTATTAGCGCTTACCATCCCTCGATTCAGCGGGGAGAAGGGAGTTATCTGTAATCCTCAAACTGAGTTGTGGGATCGATGATAAATACTCACTTAACCTTTTTAAGGACAAGTTATGAATAGACCCCTTCAATTAATTAATTAAGGTCCTATTCTGAAGATAATCCCTGTACTCAGTCTGTCTATTACTGAATGCGTAACTCAAAGACTTTGTTCTTATTGACAAAATTCCTAACAATAAGGATGAAAGATGCACCCTAAAGAGTTTTTAATACATATTTCCTTGTTCTTGTGCGTTGAAAACTACAGAAAATCAAGTGTCTTTAGCAGTTAAGATGATTGTTGCTTCTGTTGAGGTTCGAAGTATCATCCAATTGCAAATAGACCTCCTGTGACTCCACTTGCTATACGAATAGACTCCACCTAGTTCTACTTATTGCGAACCTAGCTCTACTTATTGCGAACAGATCCCTGAGCGAAATTTTTTTATTCTTAAAATCATTAATAATATTTGGCACAAACTCAAATTAAGAGAACTATTCCCTCCATCCCTACTACCTTCATTTTCTAACTACACAAGGAAAGAGGAAAAAAAAAACTAAAAATTTACAGACTGAGCATCGAGCAAGCATGGGCACAAACTCAAATTAATGGAACTA